CCGGCTGACCGCGAGCCCCTTCCGCGGGGCTCCCTCCCGAAGCCGCCGTCCTGGGGACCGAGCGACTTGCAGCGTGGGGGGGCGGAGGCGGCCGGGGCTCTCGGGTACTGAGCTCCGTGGACAGCGCGGGGGCCGCAGGGGGCCTCCGCGGTCCACTCGGGCTGCTGCCCCCTTGGGTGACGGCCCCGGGCTCCTGGAGGCGGGGAGGGGCACGCGGGCCCTCTGCGCAGGAGTCCCCGCCGCGAGTGACCGCCTGACGCCGCCCGCAGGCAAGGTGCCCGGCGACGACTGCCCGCTGGTGTGGGGCCAGTGCTCGCACTGCTTCCACATGCACTGCATCCTCAAGTGGCTGAACGCGCAGCAGGTGCAGCAGCACTGCCCCATGTGTCGCCAGGAGTGGAAGTTCCGCGAGTGACCCTCCGCCCCCCCCCGCCCCCAATAAATAAAGCTCATCTCGCCGGCGCCTGCCGCAGGCCGCTGTCCGCCGCCCCTCCGTGCGCCCTTGCGAGCGCGGGATCCGGAGCCTGCGGGCCCTGAGTCAGCCAGCGGGGGCGGGGGCGCCGGCACTGTGCCTGGTGACCGCCGGTGACGCAGGAGCCAGCCGGGCCCTGCGGGCGCTGAGTTCGATCAGCCGCCAGGGGCGAGGGCGCCTCCGAGTGGGGGAGAGAGCACGGCCGGCCGCGCAACCATCTGGCCCCCGACTGTCCGCCCGCACACAGCACTTCCTTGTGGGAACTGGGGTGTTCTCCCCACGGGGCCCACAGCTAGTCCCAGTCACCTGGCCCTGTGCTCCTGCAAGCAGGGGGCCCGACCCCTGGAAATCGTGCCCCCCTTCCCCGTTTGCCCTGGACCCCATTCCGGCCAGCGGCCCCTTGTGCCCCTGGCGCTCCAGGTTGGCGAGGGCCCCCTCAGTTCAGGCCCTGAACCCCACGTGTCCAGACTAGGGTGGTGGTGCCGCTCCTTCCTCCTGGATGCGTGGCTCCTGCTTCCTTTTTGGGGGCTGCAGGGAGAGGCCCTCGGGGTCCGGCGGGATGAGTCGGCCTCCACCCCGCTTGGCGGGTGCCTGGATGACGTCCCCGCAGACAGCACCGCGGGCGGGGGGCCCTCAGGCTGTTTTGGGGACCCAGCGCCACCCCGCTCAGCAGGAGCAGGTCAGCAGGAGCAGGCGGGTGCGCCGGTGGGCGATGAGCCCCGCCTGCCCGC